TTTTTGCTTAAGCCATTCTTACAAACTCGTTATAGTTAAACTTAAAGTTAATTTTTTCTGTTTTAAATACTAATTAAAATTGTAAAGCCCACTAACTAAACATCATCAGCGTTATTGTGAAGTAGTTCCGCTTCCTCCTCACATAGTAATTTAACGTTTTTAGTTAATTTCTATCTACTTCCCCTCCCCTCCTCCTCAATCCAGCACTGGAAATAAGACAAGTATATAAATAAAAATTATATATACTCTTGTCCTTATTAAACAATCATTATTAAACAATCATTATTAGTAAATTTTTACTTTATATAAAAAATGTCACTTAATTTATTGAAAAAATTACAAAAGAGCGACGTTTCAAAAATATTTGCTTAATCGTATTTATTTTGCTTAAAGTTTTTTCGTGTTAAAAGCTATTTTTCTTTTTTTAACTGTCTCACATCGGTCCAGTTAATCTTATTGCGCTTTTTTGTTTGTTTTTTAAATGTTCTCAAAACAACTAAAAAATCTGGCCGGTTTTATGCAACTACATATTATTTACGTGGTCAATTATCGAGTACGATCACACCCGCTTCCCGACCAAGCCTGGAATTATAGTGGCAACCCTGAGTCGATTTTCAGTTCAATTGCTAGAAATCCAAACCAGTCACATCAAGATCTAGCACAAAAATTCAATTTGAAACAATTTGATCAAAATTAGTTTAAAAAAAAAATACTTGCACTCTTGTGAATGTATACAAAAACAATTATTTTTTATATTAAAAATAATTGTTTTTGTATACATTCACAATCTACAAGAATCTCTTAAACTAGAAATACTCATACTTTGATCTTCCAAATTATTAAAGAGAGGAGCTAGCTCGGAGCTGGCTACGGAGCTAGCTCCACCTAGAATTATTTCATCTCTAGCTCATGCTCAGTAAAAATACCAGCTCCAGATAGCTCCGGTTCCAGCTCCAAAGCCTTGTATGTATGTATATATATGTGTATATATATATATATATATATATATATATATATATATATATATATATATATATATATATATATATATATATATATATATATATATATATATATATATATATATATATAGTATATATATATATATATATATATATATATATATATATATATATATATATATATATATATATATATATATATATATATATATATATATATATATATATATATATATATATATATATATATATATATATATATAGGATTAAGTATTGTATAGGATTAACACAAAAATCCAATCAACATTACACTTTTTTTATGTAACTAAATTTGATGTTGATAAAATTGATGATATTGTCACATTTGTTTGACGAAGTTCTAACTGAAACTTTTATATAGAGAATTTTTAAAAATCTTTTTATTTTTTTTAAATGTTTAACTAAAATTATTTACATTATTGTTTTTTTAGTTGTTTATGTAATTTCTTTTTTGGTAGATGTATAAAAATACATAAATAAATAAAGAATAATCATATAAATATTTTTTATTTATGTATTTTTAGAAAGATTTATTTGCTATTATCCTAATATAAAAAAAATTAGTTATAACCTTGTCAAATCAACCCAACAATCTATCTATATTTATATATTCTAGACAATTATCTTTGCTAACTTTTTGTTATATTCATAATATAACAAATTGTAAATAATAAAATTTTTGTTTTAGTGTGAATAAAAAGAAATATATATATATATATATATATATATATATATATATATATATAATATATATATATATATATATATACATATTTTAAGTAAAAATGTTAAAATATCTTAACTTTTAGAAGAAAGATAAGGATCTTAGCTGTATAAGTTAGTTACTGTAAGTATAAGTTAGTTACTCATTAGAATCATGGTTCAGCTAAACTAAAAATTGAAATTTTTAAAAGTCACTAATATAAAAGGTTACTGATGACGTCTTTTATTTGATTTAAATATAATATTAAAACTCAACTTATAATGAGCAACAAATATTTTATAATAAATAGTAAATAAATATTGATTTTTTATACCATGAAATGAAATTAGAAACTCCATATTTGTAATTTCATTAAGAATATTGATTTAAATAATTTATATGCATTGACAACTTGATATCATCATTATCTTTATATAAAAACATACAAGAAAAATACAAACTGCAACTAATTAAACAAATTTTAACTTAAAACACCGCATAAATAACTGAATAACTTTATAACATTAAGATAAATTCAAACCAAAAATATTGCTTTTCAATTTTAAACATTGTGGACGAATAAAAGTTGTTGAAATGGAAACAAAAAAACTGAAAATGTTAAGTGTATAAAAAGTTGTTAAAAGTAAAATGAACTTTATAAAATCTAACCAGTATTCCTTTAAATATCACCAGACAATAACACTGTAATTAATATAAACATAGTTAAGTATCTAACATATTATGTTAGATGTATGTTGTGTCACATAAAGTTATATAGAACCAACAAAAAATAAAAAACAACTTATTTTAAATAAGGTCATCGCTGGCTACTTTCAAATTAAACAGCCTTTTAAGATAAGAAAAATATTATTTCAATACATCATCTACAAAACAGAACATGTTTGTTTGCTTAGCACATTGAAAATAAAAACTTTAGTAATTCTAAAAACTAATTTTAAAACTAAAAAAAAAAATACATACTGAGGCGGTGGTGTAGCCATATATGTACAAAACTCGATTAAATCCTTCGAAATCTTGGATGAAAAGTTAACTAACAATAATGAACGAGTATGTTTTGAAATCATATTAGACAATGAATGATGTTTATTAGGCTGCATTTATAGGCCTCACATGCTTGATTCCATAAATACAGTTACTCATTTTATCACATATGCAAAACATTTAATAACAACAAAGTATGACGGATTATTAGTGTGTGATGATTTCAATTTACCCTCTATAAAATGGAATAACAATGGCGTTAAGTCAGTTAAAGACACAAATATTAATTCGTTAGCAAATCAATTCATCAACTTTTTATCTGATGCATATTTAACTCAATTTGTAACAGATCCTACTTTTCAAACTGATGAAATTTCGTCAACTAGTACATTGGACCTTATAATAGCCGAATGCAATGAAAGAATTGAAGAAATCATTCATTTACCGCCTCTAGCAAACTTAAAAATAAGGACATCATGTCTTGTCATTTTAGAACAAAATCAATGCCACAACCAAAGTTAATTTGCAAAAAGTTGTTTCATAGTACAAATTATGAATTAATATCTGAATTTTTCACTAACTGCAATTGGAAAACTAATTTTAAAAATTGAAGCGTAAATAAATGCTATGATGCCTTCTTAAAAATTTACAATATTACATATGATAAATACGTCAAATCAAATATGTAAAAACGAATTATAAGTTATGCAACTGGATATCTCCGCCACTGAAAATAAAAATGAAGTCAAAAAACAAACTTTGGTTCAAATGTTTGGCCAGTGGCTTTTCCAATGCAAAACTGGTAGAAGAATACAAACAGAGTAAAATAACATACAAAAGGTTATTCAAAAAAACAGTAAAAGAGTATGAATCAAAGTTAGCCAATGATGCTAAACATAACCTAAAACTTTTGTACTCATATGTAAAGCAGAAGAAAAAAATCAAGTCGAGTATAAATTCTTTAAAGAATAAAAGCCATGTATGATCACAGATCCAAAAGACATAGCAAAAGACATAGCAAATGACTATTTTCAAGATGTATTCACAAAAAATGATGTTACCGAAGTACCAAAATTCGAAAAGCGTACAAACAATATATATGGTTATTTGATTTCAATGGTTTACAATATAACAGTGAAGTTGGATCCAAATAAATCTGTTGGCCCAGATAGAGTAAGTCCATTTGTATTAAAAAATTGTGCTTTTGCTCTAGCAACACCTTTAAGTTATATATTCACACTTTCTGCCTTGGGAGAGGTAATAAGATTAGTGAGAGATAAAATGTTAGACCTACCTTTGTTATTAACGCTGTTGAAGATTTTCCAAAAGTCTCTAGAGCCAAACTTTTGAGATAAGATACAAGATTTAGTGAACTGAGAATAATGAAGCTTAGCATCCGACAAGAAAGGATAAAAGTTTCCATTCCTACCTGAATCCAGGAGGTCACATAGGAGGCGTATTTATCAGTCAAGAGAGGAAAGACATTGGCACATGGACCATCACGAAGAAAATCGGGAAAAGAATCCCAGAAGAGTTGCATAGCCGAGGCACAAACAAAAACTTTTGAGAAGAATCAAGAAGTTCCGTATTCATCATCCTAGGCAGGTAACAATGTATTGCAAGTTACAAAAACATATACACCATCCTAATAGATGAAAAAGAGGTTTGAAGCTTTTCAACCTAATTATTCTGCTTACCCCTAAAGTTTTTCCTAGGAGGCCTCCTACAAGACTGTAGCTGGATTCAGTTAACATCTACCAAGGTGAGTTTTTTTATCGAGACACCATCTCTATCCTTTACTCAACCAAGAGCCCCAAGGCAGGGGATTTTCAAGTCGAAGTTTATTTCTCCTAGTCTTTATTATAAAAAAACATTGAAAAACTAGTTTTTTAATATTAATTTTTGATGTTAAACATGTGGTATTTTAAAATGTTATTGTGATGTGCTGTTTGGATGTTAAATTTGTGATATTGCAATGTACTATTGGGATGTTGAGTTTGTAGTATTGCAATGTCTTGATTAAAAAGTATACAGTGACTGAACTTATGAGATAATAAAAGTATACAGTGACTGAACTTATGAAATAAAAGTTGGCTCAAACTAGCTGTTCTCATTTAAAATAAAACATCAATTTTTTTTTTTTTTTATTTTTATTATTTTGTTTTTGCAATATAAATTGACAATAAAATCTATAATTCAGTAAAAAAAATTGAAAAAATGTTTATTTATTTGATTTTGTTAGTTTAAGCTTTAAATTAAATTCAGAACATATATGTTTTTTTTTTTTTTTGTAGATCTTAATTTTCAACTTGTTCAACAGCAAGCACAAACAAATGACGAATCCAATAAAAATATCACAGGACAAAGGATTGATGAATCCAGTAAAAGTATCAGGAGACAAGCAAATGATGATTCCAGCACTAATATGCAAGTGCAAATATATGAATCTAGTAAATTTTTTTGTAGTATAGTTTATTTCATTTGTTATTTAACTTTATTGCTAAACTTAATTATGTTAATTATTCTATTTAAGGATCAAATTCAAATTTTGGTGGGAAATAATCTCTATTATTGTATTATGTTGACTTTAAATGATGTTATATGTTGAAGCATTTACCTCATCTAAAACTTTCTAATCTTAATAGTATGCTATTAGTTATCTGCTGAAGTTTTTGATCTAAAACTTTCTATTGTTAAAATTGAAACATTTCAAAATAATTGTATAAACTTAAATAACTTGCAATTTGATACAAATATGCAATGTGTAAATAATATAAATGTACGCAAAAAAATGAAAGATATAAAATAAAAATAAATTTGATTGTGTTCTATAAAACTTCAAAGTTTTCCATGTTTAAATTACATCATATAATGTAAATTTTTCATTTACATCATGTGATATAAAATTTCAATGGATATTTGTGTCAATTTAATTTAAGTTTTTAAAGAATAACTCATTAAAAATAACTGAATAAAGAATAATTAAATAAAAAATTTGAGTATAAATTAACTGTGTTTTTAAGAAAAGTTAATATTTTGCTTGAACCTTTTTTTGTCCATGTGCAATAGACCTAAAACAAAAAATACAGCCAAAAGTCTTGGAACTTATATAAATTTTTTAATTTATATGTAGAATTTAAAAAGTTTGTATAAAATTTATCCTAATTCATATAAATTCTCAAATTATTTTTATTTTAAATATTTTTGATTGTAAAATTTATTTTAAAATTTAATTTTATGATTTATTTTAGATTTAAAATCATCATCTAAATTGCTTTCTGACTCCTCTTCCATCTAAATTCCTTTCTGATTCCTCTTCCATCTAAATTGCTTTCTGACTCCTCTTCCATCTAAATTGCTTTCTGACTCCTCTTCCATCTAAATTGCTTTCTGATTCCTCTTCCATCTAAATTGCTTTCTGATTCCTCTTCCATCTAAATTGCTTTCTGACATTCCTCATCTACTGACTCCTCTTTTTCATCTAAACTATTGTTGCGACATATTTTTATATGCGAGCATTTTCATTTAGTACATACTAGAATTGTGTGTATGTGTGTGTGTTATTGCTACATAATAGTTTAAATAAAGTAATATAGACCATATAATTGATTTATAATACAATAAAAAAAGCAATTTAAAAAATGTAACAATTGTTATAAAAGTACAAAAGAAAATGGTCAAAGAGCTTGAATGTCTTAAAGATCAAGATTAAGAGTGTCATTTCATGGTTCACTTAATAAATAATATTTGAATTTTTCTACTCTATATACAAACTTTCTTTGAGTTTTAATACAAATTTGTTGGAGGCAGAATCCAAAATCAGAAAACTGTCGTTATTGAATTGAAATACAACTTTTGTTTAAGATGTTTATATTGTAGTTTTTATCATTCCTGTAGTGTTTTATTTTTGCTGTCTTTAGATAGCATGTAGTTGCATGTAGCATGTATGCCAATATAACAGTATTTACATTCTGATATATTGGTGACTAAAGAGGTTTTTTTTTTAATTTTTATTGAATTGAAGAACAATTATATGGTGACAGACTTTCAGTTTTTGTTTGGTAAATCTTTAATCTGGTAAAATAAAAGCTATGGGTTCACTCAATCAACCAACATAGACAAAGGTTGCATTTGAGAACTTTATAAAACATGACTAAGGCCAAGAAAAGTTTTGTTTATTTTATAAACTTTTTTTTTCACGATAAAGTGAAACTAAAAAAGTTAGTTATAAGTCTTGAGAAGATGTTTTGAGAAAAGTAGTGGAACAGTTTCTTTTATTTATATTATTAAGTTTAAAAAAATTTTGTTTTCCCGATAGTAAAACAAATAGATCTTTGTTTATTATTGATATAGTGTAGCATTAGCATGATTTTCTGATATAGTCTAAAGAAATCAGCAAAAATATCATTAACATAATGTTTATCAAAAGCTGGTTTTACTCCATTACTTTATCAGTTTATTCTCAAAATTTCTCATGATGAAATTAGCAAGAACAGGTTTTAAGGGAGAAACCATAGCAACACCATTAATTTGGTCATAAATTCGTCCTAAATGCTTTTACTAATTTTAAGATTGGCTTGACTATTTATAATGCGATTTTAGCAATATATATTGCTTCTTGTAATAGAACATAGCTCCATTAATTGGTAATATCATAAGATGCTAAAAAGTGCTTTTGAAAGTTCATTTAAATTACTTCTTTAACAAAAGTGAAAGAATCTTTCGTGCAAAGTTCACAAGGTATTAATGCAGACTAATTATATACAAAATCTTTATAATTTATAATTATATGTAATGATAGAAGAAACTATTTATTTTATGGAAGAAGTTTTATGCATTTTCAGAAAGCCATAAATCCATGCAGGGCAAGACTGAAGGATAAATTTTGTTGTATTTGGAATAACCAAAAAACCTTTATTCTTGAGTTTTCTTGAAAGTTTTGTATCTTTGTTAATCTTTTGAAGTTATGTTTGTTTGGCCTTTCTTAAGTTGGTTGGATCATTAATGATTTGGTTGAACCTGCTTTTATTCGTTATCCTATCCAATATCACAACACCAAGGATAAAAACTCAAACATTTACCAACATTTTCACTTAAATGAATGTCTTAATATTTTGTTATGAGTTTCCTGATTTTTGATTATGCCTCCAACATGTTCATATCAAAACTCAAAGAAGTATATAAAGTGGAAAAATCACAGTAATTAATAGGCAAGAGAACCATGTAAAAACGGCACTCAATTTAGTTCTTTAAAACAAATTATGTTTTTAACAAGTTTAAAAAAACTTCTACTGTTTATAAGAATTTTCACATATTTTGTGCTTAAAAGAAATTTTGGAGAAAACAAAGAATAGAGTTCAAGAGCAAGGAAACCACAGAAGACTTGTACAATAATACATGAAGCATAACCCTAACTCTGACCCTGAGAAGATTGTATACATGAGGTAATAATACATGAAGAAATGTTCAAATGTGTAATAGTGTATAAAAAGTGTGTAGTGAATTGATTTATAATACTGAAAAAGTATCTAACTTTTTTATAAATACAATGTCAAGCACCTATGGATAATCAAAGATGTTATTTTACTTTATAGAAAACCACAGTTTACGACAATTTGTTTAAGTAAATGGAAAAATCTTTGTTTTTAAAATGTATTAACATAAAGAGTTTATTTAAATTTACATAGCTATACCATTCAACTTTACATAGCTATACCAAAGCATAAGATAATAATTGTTAATAAAGTTAAGTGAAACTACGAAATATTTTATAGATATATAAACTTACAATTTTTTAAATGCTTTTCAATATCTAAATGGAGATATTTTTTTCTATTGTTATTCTAATTCACTCTAAACAAGGCTGCAAGCAACCACTATTAAATTTGGGAGTTACTGGAAAACAAAAAAATAGAGTTAAAGAAGGAAACAGTTGACCGAAGAATTAAAAAGTTGTTTAAAAGGTTTTATGAGTCAAAAAAACATGAAGATGGGAGTGATTTGCAAAAGGTACAAGTGCGGTTAAAAAAACTAAACTAATCAAAGTTTTTAAAGCATGCAGGGATAGATACAGTAAAAGGATGTAACAAAATATATTCATTGTACATAAATGACGAATGAGTCAGAAAAGGTATGATAAAAATCCTTTTGTTTGATTTGACACAGAGTAAATGCTAGAATCTACTTTTTATCTAGCCACTTCTTGAAATATCTGTGTCGCCTGTCATAATGTGGCTAAAAACACTCTCAACATAAACAAAAAATTAATAATACTATATATATATATGTGTATATATATATATATATATATATATATGTGTGTGTGTGTGTATATATATATATATATATATATATATATATATATATATATATATATATATATATATATATTTCTTTATAGATACAAATAACATTTTGATTTCATATTACCAACTTTGAAAACACAACATTTCTGAAGGAGTATTAAAAAAACATTTTTTAAAGAGTTGACACAAGAAATATTTTAAAAAAAATATAGGCACAGTTTTAGACACAAGTAACATCTCAAGTATTAAAGTATAAATTATAAAATATTTGGATTTGTTATTATCTTTTTGTAGCAAACGACGCATACGGCACATACATTACCCACAGTGCCATTCACTCCAATTTTAAACATAGTTTGATAACAACTTTAATTAACAAAATATCAGTCAATTGTTGGACTGTTTAATAGATTTTTTTTTTGAAAATGTTCATATTGGTAAACATTTTACAAAAGGAGAAATTAAATTTTTAATGCTTAGATGTTAGCTAGATTTTTAATGTGAAAGAACAAGATAAAATTATGTGGGTAATACAAAAACAAGTTTCGAGTTGTTTTTGTTTTGAGTTACCTTTTTCATATAATTAAAATTATTTTCTTTTACAATATTACAACAGTTTGTTTCAATTTTTTTTTACTTTAAAGTACAATATTTTGATCTAAAGTACAATATTCTATTTTTAATTTTCAGGTTCGGCTCATACCAAATCAGTAAAAGAACAGGAAAAATTTTCTGTTCAGCTTGAATCTCCCGATAAAAGAATAAGTTTATTAGAAGCTCAGTTGAAAAGCAAAGAACAAAAGTTTAGTTGTGACTTACAAAACGCACAAAGAATTATTGCGTCACTGCAGGTTGAACTTGAAAATAAGTCATCATCGATAGCTTATTTAACGACTCAACTTAATAAGTTTATGAATCTTCAAGGTAATAATGTTGAGTTTTCCAAACCTACGGTATGCCCCTCTCCACCTCTTGCGACCCCAATTCGAAGACGTAGTTCGCGTAATAAAGTTTTGTCCCCCTCAGCTAGCCTTGATGGTTTTATTCACGAACATTATTCTCAGGAAATAGTTACAGATTACGTGCTGCAAAATTCTTTACCTAAAAATAATAGGGTAAAATTGTCTTCGAGTTTAATATCTAAACATTCCATTGACGATTTGCCATCATGGCATTATCAGAAATTATCTAGTAAACCAAGACCATCAGATTATGAAGATTTTATATCAATAAATCAACCTAATGTTGTCATAAGCAAATCAAACATTCAACCCCTGCCACCAATCACAACTCGTAGCGGGAAAAAGCTTATTGAACCAACAACTAATGCCAAAAAAGTTCTTCGAAATCGACCAAAAGCTACTGCAAGTGCATGCGGAGAGGTTGAGCAAATAATTAAATACAATCTTGCAGAGAAATCTTGTAGAAATGCAAAAAATTCTTTAATGAAACACTAGCTCATATTTTTTAAATAAGAATATTTTATTGAAATATGTTTGTATAAAATTTAATATATATTATTGGCTTTTATTGTTTTTACTTCAGTGATGACCTGGCATTACTTGGCATTAAGATCAAAAATCCTTTGTCCAATACTTTTTCGGTTTTATTTTATTTTTTTTATATATTTTCAAAAAGTTCTCTAATATTTTTTATTCATTATTAAAATTATTTAGATACACAAAAAGTTTCATAAAATAAACTCAAAAGTATAAAAAAACATAAAGGTTACCCTTATGTAAACACCCTCTAAATTCCTTTAGTTTAATAAAGTATATTAAAATCCTGAAAAGCGCTTTGATATTCAAATGAAGTTGTCAAAAAGAATTTTATCAAAGAATTTGAAAGAAATATAGAACTTTATCAAGAATTTCGTTCAATTTTTTAACAATTACGGTAATACGTATATAAATACTCATTTTAAGTAGCTTGAGTTTTCAATTCATTAATATTATTATTTCCAATTGATTCCTTATAATTTCAATTAATTTCACGAACCGATTTTCGTTTATAATTGAGAAATTTGACAGAATCTATTATTGAACTAGAAAATATTAAACAATAATTTTGATTGTTACTTGATCACAAATTATATGTTTGAGAAAAGCGTATGCACACTACTTAATCGCAGTGTGTACATGTACAAATGTGTACATATTCACTTAATCATAATTTATCGCAGTTGTTAGAGGTCTGGCTCAGAACCAACGGGTTCGAGGTTCGACGCTGGCTCTAGCTCAATAAACATTATTGGTAAGAAAGGAGCAAATTTAAAAGTGACAAGCAACACTGACAGTGTTGCTTGTCATTTTTAAATTTGCATTAGGAATGCACTTTATCCAACATTTTTTCTCTTCTTCAGCTCTTGGAAATCTATAAAAAGACATTTTAGATTCGTTTGATTTTTTTTCACAGATCACAGTGTCACTGTGATCTGTGAACTACACTGGCCCAAAAATTTTGAAAAAGTAAAAGTAAAAGGAAGAGAAAGACCAAAAAATCCACCATCAATTTGGCCCAATGTTCCTTTAAGTCAAATTTTTTTTTTTTTTTTTTTTTTTTTAACATCTTCACTTCCAACAAGGCTGCAAGCAACCACTATAAGAGTTGGAAGTTACTGGAAGAGAAAAGACTAAATCTGTAGAGCAAGATAACGATTGACTGATGACTTAAAAGATTGCAAATTATATGAATCAGGAAAGCAAGATAAAGGAAGCGAATTCCAAAGAACTGATGTTCGAGGAAAAAAACTAGAAGAATAAGAGTTTTTGAAGCACTTAGGAACAGTCACAGAAAAAGGATGAGACTTAATTGAATGGCGAGTAACACGAGAATAAATTTTAGTAGATGGCACAAGGGACGCTAGCTCTTTAGAGCAGTGCCTATTATAGTATTTGTAGAAAAGAGAAAGAGAAGCAACATTACGACGATGTGACAAAGGTTGGAGATTGGCTGCCAGAGCAGGTCCAACTATGTTTACAATTCGTTTTTGCACCTTGTCTAAAAGAAAAAGAGCATCATTAGAAGATCCGCCCCAGATGTGGCAACAGTATTCCATACAGGGACGGATTTGAGATTTATAGAGATAGAGAATAGAATCTGGAGTAAGAAAGTGTCGAGCTCGATAAAGAGATGCAACCTTAGCAGATGCTAATTTTGCAATGGATTTGATATACGGTTTAAAAGAAAGATCAGAAGTAAGAGTTAATCCTAGAAGATGAATGGTAGATGACTCATCTAGTACATTACCATTCATAAATATAGGAAGATCTAAATTATTACGATAACGATTGGCCGAATAAAATTGAGATTTATCTGAATTAAAGTTCACCAGCCACTGTGAGCCCCATGCTGTAGCAGAAGTGAGATCCTTTTCAAGCTCAGATACCCCCTCCAAGCAATCAGAGAGTGTAGGCTTCTTATCATGACAAGAGTAAATGGTAGTGTCGTCGGCGAATAATGCCACCTTAGATGTGAGAATATCTGGAAGATCGTTAATGTAAATTAAAAAGAGTATAGGGCCAAGGATTGAACCTTGAGGAACCCCTGAAGTTACAGGATGTGAAGAAGAGTGTTGTCCATCGAGGACAACTTTTATACTACGATTGGAAAGAAAGGACTCAATAATCTTAAAGACGTTACCAGCTACACCATAAGAAGAAAGCTTATGGAGAAGACCAGCATGCCAAACTTTATCAAAAGCTTTAGAAATGTCAAGTGCGATAGCCTTAACCTCTCCACCTCTATCTAATGCACGGTAAAACCTATCGGTTATTACTGTTAGCACATCAGCTGTAGAACGAGAAGACCGAAATCCATATTGATGATCAGAAAGTAAGTTATTTGATTCAAGATGAGAGATTAAGTGTTTGTTGATTAAAGATTCAAAAACCTTGCTTATGACAGGAAGAAGACTAATGGGACGGTAGTTAGATGAATCAGATCGCTCTCCGGAATTTTTGAAAATAGGGATAACAGATGCTGCTTTCCAGCATGATGGAAAACAAGACTCTGATAAGCACTTGTTAAATAGTTTAGAGAGTATGGATGAAAGCTCAGGAGAACACCTCTGCAAGACTACAACAGGAATGTTGTCAGGACCACAAGCTGTTGAAGAGTCTAAGCAGGAAATTACTTTAGATACAGAAGCTGAAGTGATGCGAATGTCAAGCAAGGGATCAACCTGTTTGACGGCTATGTCAGGTAAAACGCAACTAGTGGAATCAAGAGATGATATTGATGAAAAGTTCTTAGCAAATAATTCAGCTTTGTCTTTAGGTGAGGTGACAAAGTCTGAACCATACAAGAGAGAAGGAATAACAGATTTGCCCTTATTATTGATACTGTTAAAGATTCTCCAGAAGTCTCGAGAGCCTAATTTTTGTGATGAGATACGAGATTTAATGACCTGGGAATAGCGAGCTTTGGCGTCAGACAAAACCTTTTTACAATGGTTTCTGGCGATAGTGAACAGATGTCTGTTTTCTGGAGAATTGTTTTGCTGATAGATATGGAAGTAACAGTTTCGATTAGAAATTGCTGCAGCGCAATGTGAGGAAAACCAAGGAGAAGAGTGAGGCTTGACCTGGAATCGTCGAGAGGGAATAAAAGATTCCATGCCAGCCTGAATCCACGAAGTTATGTAAGAAGCACATTTGTCAGCAGGAAGACGAAAGATTTCTACCCAAGGGCCATCACGAAGAAAATCACGGAAAGAGTCCCAGTCAGCTTTAAGGTAGTTGTATGTGGTACGATGATAGGGGGATTCTGATAAAGTAGAAGAATTTGATAATAGTTTTAGAGAGATCAAACCGTGATCAGAAGTACCTAAGGGTAAATGTGGAGAAATTGAGCACTGACTAGGATCCAAAACAAGACATAAGTCGAGTAGAGAAGGTAAATGATTAGGGTTGTCTGGAAAACGAGTTGGAAAGTTGACTATTTGAGTTAGAGATTGAGAAAGGCAAAAGTTGAGGGCCTTAACGCCAGCAGAGTCACTGACACAAGAGCCAAGCCAATCGGTGTGGTGGGCATTAAAGTCACCAACAACGACGATATTGGCCGATGGATAAAGAGAGAGGGCTTGGTCAATTTGATCAGAAATAACATCAAGAATAGTGCAATCTTGGGATGAAGGAGAGCGATATAGAACAAAGAGAAAGGCGATAGAGTGAAGTTGTGCTAAACGAAAGCACATAAATGAATAGTCTGTAGATTCAAACCTAGTTTCACGACAAATGGGTGAGTTCTTACGAATGTAGATGCCCAGACCAAGCATGTGATTATTGGAGTCTTTACGAATTAAAGGAAGATAACCATTAACACTAAGATCACAAGATGGGACAGCCGAACTCAAATTAGTCTCACAAAGAGCAAGTAGGTCTGGTGAACTTTGCAAGAGATAAGACTCAACAGAAGAAAAGTTACTTCGAAGACCACGAATATTAGTAAATGATAGGTTTAGAGAACTTGGTGATGACGATGGTTTTTTGTGTTTTTTAGTTTTAGGTACTTTAGTCATTTATACCATCATCTATACCCTCTTTAAATTCAACTAAACGTGCATTGTCCTCTAATCGAACTTCTTTTGACGAAATCTATTTATTTTTAGCACAAGATAATTTTAACTATGACTTTTTTTGTGACCCATTGTTAAATAAAAAACGCAATTTTTCTGTTGATATTGTAGCTTTCATTTCAGATCGTAAACTTTGTGTACAATCTACAGATTTTATTAATTATGCAACACCAAAATTAATCATTAAATTTTATAGCTGTTTAAAGTTTGAATCATATTTCAATGGTGTAAAAAGAAAAGTACATACTGTGTCTAATATTGTTAACAAATGGTCTAAATTTGAAGAAATCTTGCGATACTTGAACCTTTTGACACCAAACAGTAAGGAAATAGTAATGAATGAGCAAATTGATTCCACGAACACAAATAAGTATAGTCTTAGTGTAATCATCAGAGCATTTGAGTATTTTACTACCTCTCGTACACTTTATAAAAAATTGCGTGATGATTTTAAACTACCTTCTATTCGAACATTGACACGCATTACTTCTAAAGTATCGAAATCTGATGATAATTTTTTTTTAAAAGAAGTTTTTAATAATTTAAGTGATGATCAAAAAACTTGTATTATTCTCCACGATGAGGTTTATGTTAAAAAAATGTTATTATATCATGGAGGTGCTCTTTTTGGAAAAGCATTAGATAACCCAGATTCTCTTGCAAAAACTGTTTTAGGTGTCATGATAACTTGTATGTTTGGTGGACCTAAATTTCTTGTGAAAATGTTACCTGTAAACAAATTAAATTCTCAATTTTTATATGATCAAATTCATTTGATTGTTGAAGCAGTTAAAGAGTCTAATGGCAGCACAAAGGTAACTAGGTATTTGATGGAAATCGAACTAATCAAGGAATTTTTTAAAAAATTTGACACATTTCCTGAAAAACCTTGGCTAACCACCAATGGAACCTATTTGTTGTTTGACTTGGTCCACTTAATCAAAAAC